TTCCATGGCAGCCGCTAGCGCTCGGACAGCGCCGTGTGTTGTGTTCAGGGATGGCGGCGCCGACGATGGAGGAGAGGAAGGCGTGCTGGGGGGCCCGGGACGAGTTCTGGCAGTGCCTGGACAGCCACGGGGATGACGCCGCCAAGTGCGAGAAGCTGCGCCGGGCCTTTGAGGCGCGCTGCCCTCAGCAGTGGGTGAGCTCCGAGCGCGCGTCCCCGGCAGCTCCAGCTGCCTGCAGGGCACAGCCTGGGCAGCCTGCAGAGAACCCTGCAGCTTCCCGCAGAGAACCCTGCAGCTTCCCGCAGAGAACCCTGCAGCTTCCCGCAGAGAACCCTGCAGCTTCCCGCAGAGAAACCTGCAGCTTCCCGCAGAGAACCCTGCAGCTTCCCGCAGAGAAACCTGCAGCCGTGTCAGGCCTAGCTTGGTTTGCACGCTTGTGGCTGGCTGGGAAAGGACAGCTCCTGAGCGCAGCCCTGACTGGCCCGCGAACCAAGATAAGCAGCGTTAAGAGTGTAGTACAATGAGAATGGAAAATACGGTCTCAAACTTCCAGATAAACACACTGGATTATTGCTTTAATTAAAAAACAAAACAAAACAAAATATTAGAAGATACTTGAAAGCTTGTAGAAGTACCCAGAAATTCCTGTTTAAAGGCCAGTACAGAAAGGAGCTGCCACAGGTGCAGTGCATTTTAAGACTGATACCTTGTGCATAAAAGTACCTTTTTTTCATGCAGTGTAATTTCACAGTAAGGCATCTGCATGTAACCCGTTCATGTTGTGTTTTTTAGTTTCCTGAGCTCAAGCTGTAAGAATTCCTTTCTCATAGGCGCTGCCCTTTAGTAACAATGGTGTTTGAGGGTCTGAACAGATCCTGTTGCAGGTAGCAGACTGAAGTAATTTGAAAAGTTGTGTAACTTCACAGCTGCTGTACTGACTCACACTTGGAACAGTGCAGTCCTACTATTTGTTGTCTCTAGAGATGATGGTTTTATCTAGACACTGCACTCGGAGGTTACGTAGGCTGTGATACCATAGAAAAGCTGCTGGACTTGCCTTTGCTTCACAAATGATTTTGTTCAGAGCAGTGAAAAGAGAAAAGCATATAATATCTTCATGAAATAACAGGGTGGTGAATTTCAAAAAAACTTAAGTTGACTTTCAAAATGGTAAAGAACCCCCAAAAACTAAACATGCCACTCTTTAGTCTTCACCAGGAGAAACTCCTAACTAGTGCATTAAAATCCTCCTTAAGTTCAGTGACCAAAGACTGTTTACACAAAGCCCCTTCGTCTTGCTAGTTTCTTCTGATGAACATAATTTCTCTTTTTAAACAGGTTAAACACTTTGACAAAAGAAGAGACTTCTTAAAATATAAAAAGAAGCTTGAAACAGAAGGGTTTCATCCTCCAGAAGCTGCTGGAAAGTCTTAGGAACTCTGCTCTCAAATCAAGTGTGAGTGACTATAGAAGATGCCAGAGAAAGCAACAAAAGCTGCTTGAGTGCAAAAACTGGTAATGTAGCAGTCTCCCTGAAGTGCAGACTTCAGTGCTCTTCTTGTTGCCAGGGCTCATGTGTCTGCTAAAAAAAAGGATCATGGACAGCTTTTTAAGTCAAAGAAATATGGTGCAGGGCTGTTCACAAATTTAAGGGTTTGAATGTATAATTAGTAAAATTGTTTCACAGGAATAAATGATTATTTAATACTTCAATGTATATATTCTCAAATGAAATTGTTTTTCAGTAAGTGAACCAGCTTTTTCCTAAAATAAAAAAGTCCATTCCAACTTGCCTTTCTTGTCAAAAGCAGTGGGTTGTATAATAAAATTTGTATTTGTCATTTACCACATATTTCAAAGAATTTTAAAATACAGTTTAAGTCACATATTAACTTATACAACAGTGGTCATTAGAAGACCTAAAGGATCCTGTGCATATGACATGTAATTTTCTGTTTGGAGTATGCTCAT